AAGGAAGTTCCGCAGCCGAGGACAGCGCCGCCCACACCTACACCCGCGACGCGGGCTCCGAGGGTGCTCAGGTCAAAGGGGTCAAGCTGCTCGGTGACCTGGTCCCAAGTCTGGCTGGGACTCACGGTGATGGTCTTGTGGTCGGCAGAGATGCCGGCGGCAGGGATGCTCTTGAGATCGATGACAATGCCATTTTCCATGTTAGCAGCGCCCTTGAAAGGGGTGTGGCCGCCACCGCGAATAGCGAACTGGCATTTGCCGTCCCATGCTTCGGCACCGGCCGTGAGCGTGCGGATCGCGAGAGATACGTCGTGGGCTGACTCAGGCATGACCACGCATGCTGGCTTCAGGTCGGCTTCTTTGAGACTGAAGTATGAGCCGATGGAGGACTTGTATGCTGCGCCGTTGGGAAAGGCGACTATGTTGTTTCCCAAGGATTTAGTCAGAGCCTCGCACTACCGAAGTAATTAGTATCATGTTTTGGGACAGAGGAATGCGAGAAAGAGTACTTACACAGCTCGAGGATGAAACCACGGCTCCGTGAACATTACTTCCTGGGTTGGCATTACTACCACTGAGAGGCGATTGCACAGAGTCAACATGAAAAGATGACAGGCCTGGCAGGCCAAGGAGAATCTGTGGTAGACCTGCACCAAACATGTTTGCTAACTTTTGAAAGTGATTTCGCTGTACTATGCTGCGATAGACGATGCCAACATTCATCACCAGACCTATTGATCTCGAGGGGAGCTGCAGATTTCATAGCATTCGCTGATCGGGCAGTTAATGACTCGGCTTTAACCTCACTGATCGACTTGCCGAGCTTTGCTTGTTTCCCGCCCAGTCTGAAATTGCCTTTTCGGGACAACGGGAAATGGATATACAATGACCGACTATCCTGTTCCCGGCCGGGCCCCCGTTCCCCGGGCCGGGCCCAAGCTCCTTGATTGCATCATCTTTTGCCCTCCATAAAGCTCGAGGAGACAGCATTAATGAGATTAATAACTGCTGAAGCTGCAACTTTCGGAAAGATCAGTACCTAGAAGAATTGTTTTGCACTTGTCGAAAATACAAAGATGCCCGGCCGTACCACTGATACGCCCATCCGCAAGGTCGCACTCGCAGGTGTGAGTATTACATATTCAAACTGTCCACCAGCTAAAGCAACTTACAAGAAGTACAGAAAGGCTACGTAGGCGAAAAGATTTACGATGAACTGGTCAACGCCGGGTATGATGTTACTGTTCTATCACGATCTAACCCGGAAGACGCGCCGAACGTCCGCGTCGTCGACTACACTTCCACAGAAAGCCTCACCGAGGCCCTCCGCGGCCAGGATGCCGTCGTCTCCGCCATCAACCCCGCGGGATGGCCGCACCAGTACGAACTAATTGACGCCGCCGTCGAAGCCGGCTCGGTCAAGCACTTTATTCCCAGCGACTTCACTTCTCTCTCGACAAACCCCGCGGTCGCCGAGTTACCTTATTACAAGGACGCCGTGGCAATCCAGAAACACCTGAAGAAAAGGGCAGACGAGAGTGGGATGAAGTGGACCATCATCGCCACGGGCCCTCTTCTTGGGTGCGTGCTGAACGGAAATTACATGTACAACTACCAAGAGCAGACGGCGCTACAGGTCAGTGACGTGACGCACCGTGTAAGTGTCACGCGACGACCTACCCTAGCGAAAGCCGTCTCGAGCATCTTTGACAAGTCTGGTGACATGGAGAGCGGCGCTATCTTCATCCAGGACTATACAACATCGCAGAAGGAGATGCTTGATATCGCCGAGAAGCTTTCTGGCAAGACGTGGCCTGTCCAGCATGTTGATGGGGAGGAAAAGCTCAAGGATGGGCTTGCTATGTTCAGAAGGGCGGAGGCGGAAGGGACTACACCGCCCATCTTTGCTACGTTTCTTGTCATTCATAACACCATCTTTGGCGGAAAGCATAACACCGCTTGGGATGGCAAGGGGAACAAGTTTCTAGAGTTGCCTATCATACCGAAGGACGAGTTTGAGGAATTGATTGCCACGAGAGTCCGGAATGAGCCTATTGACGGGGGGCTGCCCTGGAACTCGGCCCCGAAGCCTAGAAATGCGGCCTAGGATGGCCAATGTTAGATGCTTGTTACGCAGCACTCAGATAGCGAATTGAAGAACCCATTGTTGAGGTGGCTGGTAATTCTCAAGCTGTATTTTCTATTGCGACGAGAAGAAATTTAGCGTATTTTAAGATGAAGTATTTCGAAAAAAGGGAGTTTAGCTACTTCAATTGGGCCAAGGCGCCAAATCACAAGTTGAGGCTTCCAGGCTGGACGAACTAGGGGTACTGATATAACAGGTTGTTTGGAACGTAATGTTGACACAATAACAATTGGTTATTTGTCCCCTGTTCGCCTACTATCTAGGCATATTAAGCAAAAGGGAACACAATCGGACAATTACATTCTAGATAGCTGCCAACTTAAATGACTACTTAAGTAAACAAATACACAGAAGAATTTGAAATCCCTACTCAATGCTACTTCAAGTCCAAAGACGGCGGCTGAAAGCCATTCCACTCCAGATAAGTCGTCGGAACTTGAGGGAATTTGTCAATCCCGTCCAGCATGACTACACCCATCCCCCCAGCGTGGTGAGTTTGCACATGGCAATGCAAAAGCCAAGCGCCAGGGCTCTCTACCTTGTACCTCACGACAGTCCACACAGCAGGCGCATCGCCAGCGATATCAGGCGTTGTGAAAGTATCTTGGTACGACGGGTTCTCAAAATTGAAGGCCCCGGGTGGTAGGGCACGCTCCGCTTCCTCGACCGTGGCCCAGGGAAACTTCCCGACCCCAGAGCCCAGGAAGTAAACCTTGTTGCCGTGCTTGTGAACGGGGTGGCTCTGCGCAAAGGGGCCTTCGGTCTCCAAAATGATGTCAATCCACTCGCCTACCTGGGTACGTAGAATGAGTTCGCTCTGTGGCACCTCATCGGGTCGTCTGAAGAGGAATGGAGGGTCTCGTTCCTCGGCTGTCATGTTGTAGACTTCGTGGCCTGAAAGACTCCATTCGTATGCTCCGTAAGGGCGGCCTGGTTTCCTCAGGTACAACTTGAATGTACGATCCGGGCTGCGAGCGGGCTGTTGCGATGGAAATGGGTGACCCTCCTCGGGCTTGAAAGAGCGAATGTTTTTTATGAGAGGCTGTCCTGCGTAGTTCGTCTTGGGTTGGGGATTTTTTGGCTGCTTTGTCGCTCGGTCGTACGCCAACTCGGCAAAACCTCCAAGAATTTGGTTGAGAAGGTCGTTGGCCATCCTGATCATATATCGAGCTGGCTCCTGGTCAAGTCTGACCAGGACCGAGACCCGATTACCATTGCCAACGTAGACGCGGTCTGTGACGACAGGTTTGATGTATTGCCCATCGACCGCATACACATGTAAATCGTGGTTATCGATAGAAACCTGCAGTGGATATAGCCCACCAACGTTCATAAACGTGAGTGCCGCCCAACCTTCTTTGCTGTCGACACTAATGGTGAAGTTTCCCTTGGCATTTATGCCGCCTACGCATTTTCGGATTGACTCGGCGGGCAGCTTGCCTAGGTGCACATCATAGTCGCCTTGGAGTGCTTGGATTGGAGGTACGCAACCTTTCGCCGTCATATGGTCCTCGCCGAGATCCTGCAGCATCTTGAGGATGATGGGGTTCGTCATGCTGTCCAAGGACTCCGGATCAAGGCAGTACTGAGACCCAATGCCATTGACGATGATCGCATCTGTGCAGGCGAGATCGAAGTTGGCAATCTCCTCAATATGGTAAAAGTCGTCAAACTTGTACTGACTCCAGTCGGCGAGCAGGAGCGGCTGCATGTTCTGCTCAGCTCTCCGCATTGCCTGCCGAGCTTTCAGGCTCCCATCGATGAGGTGAAAAGGCCTGTCAACTTCTGGCAGTGCGTCGACAATGACCGCGCCGTAGAGCCCATCCATCAGCTGGCCTTTCGAGTGGGCGTGGTAGAAGAACGTTCCCGACTGCTCTGCGGTCCACTGGTAGCGGTACGAGGCACCGGGATGGATTTGGCCCTGAGTGAGGCCCGGTACGCCATCGCTCCAGGGCGTCTTGCGTTGTTCGATGCCATGAAAGTGGATGGTTGTGTCTTCCTGAAGATAGTTACGGACTATGACCTCGACCTCATCGCCTTGCTTGAGGTGTAGAGTAGGACCGGTGAAGCTGTTGTTCACGAGAATGGCAGCTCGTGGGCCAGCACCGAGTGCGTCCACTTGGCCTGCTGTAAGATGGAGCTCAAAGCGCACGGTACGCTGTACTGACTGCTGGATGTTGGACGTCCCAGCGTCCAGTGATGTTGCCGAAGACCAGCTGGATAACGGCCAGGGCAGAAGGTAGGAAAGGATGTGAACAGGGTGCATTGTGATGTTGATGCTCCAAAACACCGGTAGACTTATCGGGACATACGACGAGTGTGTAAGTGCCAATGGCTAGAATAGGTCAGGATAGACTAGAACATGAAGCTGGCGGAAGTTGGTGTAATTCGGAGGCTTGGGGGTGCGAGGGAATGAAGCTTGGTCGATGGCATCCCACATGGGAAGCGCATGCGCTAGACACACTGAAACTTGCCGAACACTTGCATCGAAGATGGTCCAGCGGGAATTAAAGACCGGTCGGTGCTGAGTCGAGCAACATAACCCCGAGCCTGCCCATGACCATCACATTTTAGACAATGGTTCAACAGGTGTCCGTATACGCTTCTCATCAGCAGCACGCGGCTTGTCAACTTCAATTCCTCCTGTCAATCTGACTTCGACTTCTTTGTCTCGCTGCAAGAAATGCGGGTGCCACCCATAGCCCTTGCAGCGGTGCTGCTGGGCATTGCATCCGCCAAATCTCTAAGCCAAGCCCTGATCAGCCATGGGTCACTATCTATGCTCCACGAACTTTTGGAAGACCTGAATCTGCTGGAAAGGTTTCAAACGGCCGAAAGGTCGACGTTCCTGGCAATGACGGATGACGCGCTCGTTGGTCTCGCCAACTGGGGTTTGAATATGAGCACTATCGACCCAGCACTAGCCAGAGCCATTCTCGAATATCACTTTCTAGAGGAAGTCTTCACGTCGTCAGATCCTTCATTGAAGACAGAAGTCCAGCTAGCTCACTCGGTATTGCGCCCACCAATTTTGACAAACGTCACAGATGGCCCAGTGGTGAAGCTCTCCATCATCGACGGCTCGTTGTGCGCAGAATCTGGTATTCAAAAGGTCATGCGCATCAATGAGTCGGATATTGCCCACGACAATGGCGTTCTACACACCATCGACAGCAACCTCGTTTTGCCGCACAACATCTCAGAGACAACCAATCTAGGTAACCTTCACAAGTTCTGGGACATGATTGAAAGATCAAACACCAGAGAGGTTTTGGAGGCTATAAGGGACGCAACTGTCTTTCTGCCGGATGACAAGGCAGTACGACAGTGGAGCGCAGCGTTGGGGTCTCTTACACCGGAGCAGCTGGCAACGGTAGTTGCAAATCATGCCATTCCAAACCGGGTTCTCTATCATACCGCCTTTTCTGCCGGACGAAACGAGTATGAGACTTTGAGTGGAATGAAAGTCACTGTCAGGCGTGACTCTAGAGGGCAAGTATTCGTCAACGAAGCAAAGATCCTTAAAGAGGATGTGCTCATTTTCGGCGGCGTCGCCCATATCCTGGACGGGGTCCTAGCTCCCTTAGGACACAGAGGTAAATTCATCATATTTCAAGCTAAGGCCAAGCTATTTGAGCCTTGAGGGTTAACTTCGTCTTGTAGATTCCGCCTGTCTATCCTTTTTTAAGAAGATTCGGGTCTACACGGCTTTTCATTGGTCTTCGTGGAAGATCATGGCAAAGACTTTCGTCGTTGCTATCGGTGCCTCCTCTCTGACCGTCCTTGCATTCCTCACTGTAAGGAACAGAAGGGCCAAAAGACAGATGATCTCTCCAGCTTGGTCGACAGCAAGCTGGGAGAGATACTTGCAAAGCATCACCAATGAGAAAGATCAAGATGGTTCCGTTTAACTGAACGCAATACAATTCTATTGCTTGGACAATTATTTATTATTTTCATCTATGCTGTTATGATGACCATGCAATTATCAAGTGACGCCTGTTGAATGAACCTCTTGTGTTGTTCCGCTGCTGCGCCTAAAAGATCGCACCACAGAGCACACTTGCTCCAGCCATCCCAAACCGCTCAGGTACTAATCGCCTTCCGAGTTAGCAATAGTTGCAGTCCCGAAAACCGCTGTTTACGCGTTCTTAGTGTCCTGCCAGCTGTGAAAGGCCCTAATTCGGAGGGGCTTCTCACGTCGGAATCGATGGCTACCAGTTCAACTGCCCGTGGGTCGCAAGGTAGCAGGGGCCCTAGAGTTACTGATTTACTTTGCCGAGGTATGCCCCGATAGCGACTGGGTTTCGGGGATCGATCGCCGCACTCAACCCAATGAACTCTTTCGGGGAACTCAGCTTATTCAAATACAATTGTTGATCGGTGGTCCATCTATACTGGTCAATGGCTGTGATTCAGCTTGTGAAAAACGTTGAAACGGTACAATGATTATATTCTAGGTCTCATTCAACTGGCGTGATAAAACTATCACGCCGATTTCACGTATTTGATAACACGTTCCCGAGAGGAACCGGGAAGCATCCAGATATGAAGAAGAGAAAACCCCGAGCTACGTCTGCAAACCCTCGGGTGACCAGTCCCTAGCAGATAAACTGTTAATACTTGATTCCCCTAATTGCAAGTCCCGGCTTCCACGGCAACTGATGTTCATGGTGTAAGACGGCAGGCGGATTTCAGAGGTCGGGCTATTCCATTACGATCTGAGCGACGGTTGCCGTGTCCCCGGGAGTCAGCTTCTTCAATAAAGTAGAGCAGCATTAGGCCCTCTCTACGCGATGACAGTTTTAGCAAGAATTTTTCCAGTGATCTAGCTAGGTGGATGTTCTCAATTATTGGCTAAAGTGATGACCATATTCCACTACAAATTTTGGACAAGCTTCTAACTGACTCTGTTTTCGTTCACCATTCTCTCTTCAAAGTCAATCCTTCTATTCTTTCCTTCTGTGTATTTCTACAATTTTTGTTCTGTTCAATCCGACGCGAGGTGTATACCCACCATGGCGCCGCCAGCAGACGCAAGTCCAGCAGAACCTGCATATGCAGAGGAGCCGCTGTCCCTCGACGAGCAGGTCATCGCCAAGATTCAAGGCGGTGACTTCATTGTCGACTGGCTCAGCCCAGACGACAAGGGCTGCCCTCAGAACCTGCCTACCCCCCGCAAATGGCTCATCACGCTGGTGCTGGCGCTGTATGTGCTTTCGACGACCTTTTCGTCGTCCGTGTTCAGCGCGGCTGCTGGCGTAACTGCCGCTGAGTATAACACCACGGTACAGAACATGGTCTTCGGCGGCACTTCGCTCTTTATGCTTGGGTTTGCTGTTGGTCCCATCATCTTTGGGTATGAGATACTTGTCCCTCGTGTGCCCCTCCGTGGCTTGAGAATGTGCCTAAGCTAACGATTTACACCTCCGTTACAGGCCTCTCTCCGAACGCTATGGGAGAAAGCGCCCTTTGATGGTCGGCTACGTAACCTTCGCCCTCCTCCAGCTCCCGGCAGCCAGTGCCCAAAGTCTGTACACAATCTTCGTCTTCCGCTTCCTGCAGGGTGTCTTCGGCGCCGCACCGTCCGCTATCCTCAGCGGCACACTCGCCGATATCTGGACCCCGAAGCAGCGGGGTTTCGCCATGCCCTGCACGGGAACTTTTCTCATGATCGGGCCCGTCCTCGGCCCCATGATTGGCTCTGTCATTGTCAAGAGTCCGCTCCTGGGATGGCGGTGGATCTTCAACATCACGGCCATCTTTACGCTTACCATCGCTGTGGTCACATATCCAGCCTTGACCGAGACATATTCCCCGATCCTCTTAGAAAGACGGGCAAAGCGAATGCGTCATATGACGCGCAACTGGGCTCTGCGGGCAAAGTCTGAAGAGCAGGAGAGCAACCTCAATGACATTGTCGAGAAGTGCCTCTCACGTCCGGCCGAGATGCTCTTTTTGGAGCCTATTCTCTTGTTGATGTCCACTTACATCTCCGTCGTCTTCGGTACGCTGCCAGCTTACACACGCTTGCAACAAAACATTAACTGACGACATTCTAGGACTCATGTACATCTTTTTCCTCGCCTACCCAATGTCTTTCGAACGCGAGCGCCACTGGGACTCCACCTCTGCCGGCCTCCCGCTCCTTTCCATCTTACTAGGCACCATCCTCGGCGGCGCGCTCATCATCGCGACAGTCAACACCAAGTTGTCGCCAGATCCTAAGGCTGGCCGCCCGCAGGAAAACAGGCTCTTGCTGATGATGATTGGGACAGTCTGTCTGCCCGTCGGCATGTTCTGGTTCGCGGCGACGAGCTCGCCGTCCACGGACCCTTGGCCGCAGATTGTTGCCGGTGTACCTATCGGTATTGGCATCATCTTGATTAACATGCAGGGGATGAATTACATTGTCGACTGCTACGGGATCAACTCCAACTCGGCCATCGCGGCTAACACCTTCATGCGGTCACTTTTCGCGTCTGGGTTCCCGGTGTTTGCGTGAGTCCTCCACTTCTACATCAGGTTCGCCCCGGAATATTGCTGCCCTCGTTGCTGACTTCAAGAAGTACATCCATGTATACTTCGATTGGTGTCGCCCGTGCCACTTCGCTGCTGGCTTTGTTTGGTGTAGTCTTGGCTCCTATCCCGTTCCTCTTCTATCACTATGGGGATAAGATTCGCGCCCGCAGCAAATGGTCCCCCTCATACGGACAATAAGGTCCCAAGTTCATGAATAGAACAGGTTCTGGAATAGATCATCTTGTAGACTTCATGATAAAGAACATCACGGTGGTTTATAGATAGCTCTAGTAAAGTCGCTGCAAATAGGACGCTTGGAAGGATGCCTTGGGGCGTATCGAGGTAGATTAGATTGGAAATGGGGATTAGAAGAGCATGCTTATTTCGAATAACCCTCGTCGCATCAGAAGTCGTGAGTTGAGATTTCACATGCCGTGATGGATCACTTCGTGTGCAGGTGTATCAATAAAGCCATTTGGTCAAATTCGATTTTTTGCATGCCTCACATGCATCTGTACTCAACGGCTCGTCTGAAAGTTCTTGAGATTTTAACAATGAAGTGTCTTGTCGACTTTTCAAATAGATCACTTTCTCATCGGAATGGACACTGGGAGAAACCTGCCAGTTTTCTTATGCTTGTTTCGATTTTGCAGTGAATCAAAAGCTACAATGATAAGACCAAAGTCCCTGACAAGAGAAAATCGACGAAGCTCAGGAAGGAAACTGGATTCGCCTAGCTAAACTCAGTCATATGCTACAATCTACTTTGATACGTGTGCGGTAGCTGCTTTGCCCATTAAACATTTACTCGCAGCTCTGGTCCTCCCAGAAAAGGAAGAATCTGGTCTCGATGCTCCGTCTGGCGGGACCGATATCATCAGGCGTAGGGAAAGCACTGTGCGGAGTACGCCTAGCCCTACCATCCTTCTTGGAGTCAAAGATCTTGATGAGAATGACATCGTCTCTCGTCATACCACCTCGGAACCACCACTTGTGCTGGTCAGGCGTTTCGGGCGGTGCAATCTGCCACATGTGGTTTTCGGTAGGCTTGTGAGGCCACCGGAAGGGAACGCAGTGCATGGTATCGTGGAGCTCGTCGTCACGAACTGACCTGGCGTCGCACAAGGCCAGAGGCTCACGGTGGACCTCGTCCATGGGTCTCCAGAGGTTGACGATGGCCCAACGGTGCTTGCCGTCGTGCTTGGCGCCTTCTCCGGGAGGAAGGTCATCGTAGAGGCGGCGCTTGGCGCCGAGGTCCGACTGGTCGATGTGGACGAAGCGGGCCGAGAGCAGACCGCCATCGGTCATGGCCATGTCTGGCTTGTCCTTGTCTTCTTCAGGGTCGGCGCTCTCCCACTGACGCTGACGGATGATGTGAGAGATAACTCGGACGTCACTCGCTCCGGTGCTGATATTTAGGTCAGTAAAAGTTATAGACTGTTCTTTCTGGAAGACACTTACAGCTTTCTCATAAACTCCTCACACTCAGCATTGTAAATCTTATTGAGCTTTTCGTCGATCGGACTCCACGGGAAGTCTTTATACGAAGTAGGGAAATGCTCGAATTGGAATCCAGTCTTGTCCAGGCTGAACTCGGACTCCTTGCCACGAGCGTTGTAGATCTTGACCGGCCGCGGGTCATATTTGCGGCGCATCTGCGCAAAGGTGCCGCCCCAGATCATTTCGTCGCCGCCCTTGGTAGGGCAGAGACGATAGTTGAGGGTGGCATCGTAAGACTCTTTGTTCAAGTTGTAGACGCCAGCGAGCTTTGCGCGCTCCTCGCTGTCCTTCTCCGCGAGCTCGGTGGCGGTGTACTCGATCTTGTCGCCGGAGACTCTGAGCTTTCTCTTGACCTCAGTGTCGAGGAAGGCAAGCTCGTCCTTTGTGGCATAGTTCAGTTCAAGAGTAGGCATGATGGGCAAGTTATTATTGGCGTAGACTAATGAGCTTGACTGTTGAAGTGATACGATTGTCCGACGAACGCATGCATAAGTCGACCTTTAATATCCAACATTTTGGTGTGGTTCAGAGGCACCAGTAAGCCTTCCGAGCTTCGTATTGATGATCACGGCGTTCTTGTCGCCGGTGCAGCAAGTGCCGGTCTATGCTCCCTAGTTTTTTTGCGGTGATTGAGTTCCCGGTCGCTGTGCACGGGGTCTAAGTTTCGATAAAAGGTGTTGCCGGTCGATACAGGCAGGTAACCCCTACGAAATCATAATCTTGCGCATACACGGCTGGCCCAGATCCGGGTATCTTAAGGATGAGATGAAGATCGCGATGTAAAAGGAGCCCACTTGGCAGTCTAATGACACTGTCCAAAGGGTCTAAAGTTATGTGTTCCAAGGCCAGAGTGCGGAAGACAGCAGTAAGAAACTTCACTGAACCTGCCTGGAGCCACAGGTCGGGTGGGATCTGCCGCTACATGTACTGTACAACATCCCACTGTAGGCGTCACGATCAATTATTGTGGGTGGGCCTGCAGCTTTTGAGAATCCTGCGAGCGTGATGAGGAAATTGAGGAAATTGCCATAAGATGTAGCAGCAGTATGTCGAGATTTCTCCTAGCTGGAAGCCCGGGAATTGATTGAGACCTCTTCGTCTATTCAGAGAAGGTTCATTCGGAAAGATTGTTCGGGAGCATCAGTAAGTTACAGTAGACGTTTTGGTCTAAAATGGACATCACGATACGCTTCTTACACATAACTATGCATCAAGAAGAGCAAATCATGAAAACATGAACCTTGACCATGCACGAAGGAATGATCATTTTACCCAAACCAAAACTGAAATTTTCATGGCCATTTGGACTACTTCAAGAAACAAAGTAATGGGTCTATTCCAGTAACTTCTCGGCTGACCTGCTAAAATGTATAGTGCTCTGCCCATCCCACAACACAGCTAAATCAAGCGTTAGCAATTGAGAGCGCCAAGTAACTTTGCAGACATGGATGATATTCAACTTACCGACTCCGGCTCATATCAGCGAAGTTAAAATGGTCGGGAATGAATTTGCCCAAGAAGTCAGGGTCATCACGCATCTTCTCTATGCACCCGATATTGGGTACGATTATTGAAATGACCGAATCGTAATCCAGCAGCATAGCAATAGGTGCGTCAGGGAACAGCTTCTTGAAGTCTGCTTTGGCGGAGGCATCGTTGTGGGTCTATTGACGTTGTTCTTCAGTTAGACAATTTGTTCTACGAACACAGGACATCTTACATACCACAGTGTAGGATACAGCTCCATATTTCTCCAGTAGTGGTTTGATGATTGGAGTATTTACGCTTTCAATGTGGTTGTGGTGGCTCTGCTCATCCTGGTCTGCTTTCTTATAGACGTAGATGCTGTAAGCAAAGTTGCGCTTTGGCTGTTCGAGGGAGCCCATGCTGCCTGTTTTTGAAGTTGAGTTGTCGGAATGAGATTTCAGCGACCCAGACCGCGGCTCCCACTCCACAGGCTTCGCGGGGTGGGCATCACCTTTTAGATGTCTGCAGTGCTCTTTCAAATCTCGAGCTCTCCTGCCTCGCGTTCTGTCCGAAGCTCCAAGCTCGGCTCCAGTCTATCCGTACGCATTCATCCTTTGGCAGCGTGGCTGCTGTGCGGCCCTAGCGCTGAGTCGGGCACTGCGAGAGTTCACAGTTCCCCGGCCCGGTTACCGCGGGCGGGAAACATCGCCCAAAGAGCTCTGAGCTGCTAAATCGTTTACCTGCCGATAATCTCAACTTTGTCGACGGCAAAAGCCCCGATTCCGCGTGGGCTTAAGTTATAGTTCAGAGTGCAAGTTGTACGATTGCCGGCTCGACAACTGGATCAGGGAGATGTTGACCAAGACGGTTCCATGCACCTCATTTGCTTTCTACTTGGATATGATATAAATGCTAACTTTCCCTGACTTCTACTTCGTTTGCTTAACACCCGACTCTTTAGTCAACATATAGGCCAGACAATCGTCTATCGTTCACTGCAGCACCACCACTTTCTTCTCCCCGCTTTCCAACAGCCAACAACCCATATCTCGCTTTAGTAGCTCTTCACGATGGCTGACCGCAAGATTGTTCTCATCACCGGAGCCAACAAGGGCCTCGGATACCAAGCAGTCAAGACATTGCTCGGATCCAAGCAAAAGTACCACGTCTTCCTAGGCAGCCGTGACTTTGCCAAGGGAAAGGCCGCTGCTGAGACTGCTGCGGCGGAGGTCAAGTCTAACAGCACCGTCGAGCCACTTCAGCTCGATGTTGAAAGCGACGACTCCATCAGAGAGGCTTACGAGACTGTTGCAAGCAAGGTTGACAGGATTGATGCACTTGTCAACAATGCCGGTATGCCACTCTTGTTGCACTTTAGGGATTGGTCTCCGGAAGCTTTTAGCTGACTCTCTTTTCTTCTACAGGCGTCATGCTGGATCAACAGATTGAACGCGGCAACATGACAGTCCGCGAGGCCTACAATAAGTCCTGGGACATTAACGTCACTGGCCCCCATATCATTGCAGACACGTTCCTCCCGCTCTTGCTCAAGTCTTCTGACCCTCGTCTCATCTTCAACACTAGCGGTGTGTCCTCGCTGGAAAACGCAGCCGACTCCTCTCACTTCACCTACAGGGTACCGCCAGCCGGAACCCCTAAGCCTGTGGGCACCATTTCATACAGAGCGGCTAAGGTCGGCCTCAATATGGTCATGCTGGAATGGGTGCGCATGTTGAAGAACGACGGCGTCAAGGTCTGGTGCGTGGCTCCTGGCTTCTTCGCCACTGACATTGGCGAGGGTGACCCGGAGTCCATGAAGAAGATGGGTGCTGGAGACCCTTCGGCAGGTGGCAAGGCACTTGTTGATGTTGTTGAAGGAAAGAGAGATGCCGATGTCGGAAAAGTGGTGAACATGGCGGTTTACGGCACGCCTGTCCAGCCTTGGTAGTTAAGATGACTGAAAGTTCATTGAAATAGAACTTTGTTCTGGCTACGGTGACTTCCAATGATGGATCCTGTGACATAGCCTCATATCTACAAGAACCAAACATGTAATTCCAATTGCCTTGGCAATTGCCTCAGATAATTGGCTTCAGAGATAATGCGATGCAATCAGAGACTATCGTATTTCCGCCCCTGATGTAGTCGAGATCGAAAAGCCGACAATTCGGTATTAGTAAACAATCAATCCCGGTCATGATACATATGTCTTCATGAGATGAGGGCTTGTTTCATAAGGACTGACTGGGTCTCAAAATCCTTACCTCATCCTAAAATCTTTGCTCCGACCCAGATGTTGAATCGGCTGCGCATTTGGGTCATTTACGGCCTTTTATCTTATCCAAGGTAACAATGGTAGTTCGATTTCCCTGCGGTCTTCTCAATTTGCCTATCTCGCTGGCTACATAAAGTACTACATATATATGTATATATATACATATGATCTCAGAACACTACTAATTTCCTTTACTCCAATTCCTGGTCCTCCCAGAAAACAAGGCACCTGATCTCAATACTCTCTCGTGGTGGCCCAACATCCTTTGGTGTCTGAATTGCGGTGTGCGGCACCCTTCTAGCTCTGCCATCCAGCTTGGTATCGAAAATCTTGATCAGGAGCGCCTCGTCCGGGGTCATGTTGCTGGCGTAGTACCATTTATGGTTCGGACTCGCCACCATGTGCCATTGCTCGTTGTCCTTGTTGATCGTATTAGGCGGCTTGCCCAGAACGATGCGCGTGGTGACGGGGCGTAGATCAGACTCCTCGACGCTTCGCGCATCACAGACCGCCAGCGGCTCACGTTGAACTAGCTTGAGTGGGTGCCAGACGTTGATAATTCCCCACCGGGTCTTGGTCTTGGCACGAAGCATCTCTGCTTCGGGAAGCCGATCGAGCACCAACTCTGCACCTTTGTATGATTGATCTTTCCTATGTGAGTATCGCACTCTGGAATAATCATAGCATTATTATACTTACCGACGTGAATGAACATGGCGGGTGGCTGCATGTTTAGGACCTGGGAGTCAGGAAGGTCATCCGGAATGTTGAGAATCTTCTCATGAGGATCACGACGTATGACATGAGGGGCAAATGGGTGCACGTATGTTGCGCCCGAGCTTCGTGGCTTGTCAGTCAATAATCTTTATAATTTGCATACGGCTGCTCTTACTGTCTCATCAAGAGCTCTTGAACATCCTTCCGAAGCTGGTCGGGAAGACCAAATCTGTAGTCTCCCTGCCAGCCCCTTTCCTGAACAGTGCTTTCGACAACCTTGAAGCCCTGTGTATCGAGATTGAACTCTTCGTCGCACGTGTGCATGTCTGTGACCGGAACGAGTTGTCGATTGTACTTGGTGCGCTGAAAGCCCACAGTGGCGATCATTTGGACGGGGAATGCCTCACCCTTAGGCGGCGGTTGGTGATAATTGACATAAGCCTCAACCGACTCCGGCTTCTGTGTGGAGTGGGGCATATTTGCAAAAGGCAATGGTAGCTTGCTACAACGAGTACGAAGCTGGGTGTTCTGAAAAGAGTGGTGAATCAATCGCCGCCGAACCAGTGTGAAGTTGAAGGCGGATAGTGGGAATGTCAGTCTTGCATTTAATGAGTCCACGGCTCCCTTCAGTCGGGGAATGAAGAGGAGCAACACGCAGGGCCAAACTTTACACCGCACCTGAACCCCGCAAGCAGGAACTCGTACGAGGAACCTGCCGAGTATTCTCAACTGATTTTGACGGAGTACTTGACCGGCAATAAGGACCATTCAAAAAGTCCTCAAGGCACCACTATCAGAGACTCTCCGTTGATTTTCCGATTCGGACCACTCTCAACGCTATCCAGCAGGGCGATCTGCGGATTATTTACGCCCTTGCTTTGCCGTTCCCACAAGCAAAGACTTCTTGTAGGCCCAATTCAAGCCCCGAGAAGACAAGAATGGGCCGGGCCTCGACTCGCACCAACAATTCAAAGTTTCGAGATGCCGTAGTCAACCATGATTGGTCCGTCCCTGATCCAATTTGCCTACTTAGGCAATACGTCCCCAACTTTTACCGGTCGGAGAACCTTGCGCGGTCACTAATCGCCGGTGATCCAGTTACCGGTGTCCCCAACTGCAGCCATCACGATAGGTTCGTCGGTTGTCTTCGGGTGAAAAAGAGTTGAGGAGCTGTCTGGCTTCATATCATTGCAAAGCTTCACTTTTGATCAAATTGCGTATCACCGACCCTCCTCGCGATCCATCTGTTCTTCCGGTCATGTTTTTCTAGGGGATTGATAAGAATAAGATCGATCTAGTGCCAATTGTCTGATGTTCAGCCCATCTGGGGAGCCAGGGCTCTTAAAAAACCACTTTGTAAACGCCCGTACCCGGCCTTGTGCTATAGTTATATCGGGTTCAACTTGGGCCTACGATTCCCGGCATTAATGCTGAGAAGACAACCCTAGATAGTCCTGTTGCCGCGCATCCCGAGGGAATGGTAACTCGAGAACGAGTCAAACAGAATATGCAAAGAAATAAAGCAACCCGACTACCTTGGTCATGGTGCACATCCCCCGAGTCAAAGATCTCTCTTCGTTGACAAAGACTTCTTTCCGCTGCAGCTCCATCCGTCAAGATACATATTGCCAAGATCTTGTCACCCAAAACACACGACGTCCCAGTTCTTCCAGCCAAACTTCGCAAACGCCAAGCACACGTCGTCCAAGCTCTTCTAGTCAAGTTTCACAAACGCAAAACAACAAAGACACGCCCCCGGAAGAAGCTCAAGAAACGTACTTCAACATGCCTTACATCCCGAACCTGCCTCAGATCCCCAACCGCTACGCTGCGGCCCATGCCAACCCCCAGGGTGAAGGTGACGCTCGCCCGACTGCACTCCAGATTATTCAAGATGAGGGTCTGGTTGGCAAGCTGGATGGCAAAGTGGCGTTGGTGACAGGCGGCACCAACGGCATTGGCCTCGAGATTGTTCGGCATCTAGCCAAGACCGGCATGAAGGTGTTCTTCACTTCGCGTAACCTCGCGAAGGGTGAAAAGGTCAAGGCTCAGCTGCAAGGCGAAGATGCTAGCCTTAGACTGGAGGTGGTGGAAATGGAATTGAGTAGCCTGAAGAGTGTCAAGAAAGGTGCAGAGCATGTTCTAGATAGCACGGTGCGATTGGACGTTCTCGTCAACAACGCAGGTAAGTGATATTGCCATCTTTACACCTCAGTTGCATTGCAAGTTGTCGCTGACTCTAATGAACATCAAGGCATCGCGGCAACACCACGCGGCTACACGGAAGAAGGATACGAGCAGCAGTTTGGCGTTAACTACCTCGCGCACTTCTACCTCTTCCAACTTCTCAAGCCCCTTCTTCTCGACACAGCTGCGAACAATAACGTGAACGTGCGGGTGGTCACCACCTCCAGCACATCCCACACGGCCTCGACTGTCCTGCCGGAGAACAATTACGACACGGCAAACCCCAATGGCAAGGGCTACGAGCCTGGCGTATCTTACGCGCACTCTAATACGGCAAAGATCTGGTTCTGCAACGAAGTCGAGCGCCGCTACGGATCTGAGGGGATCCACGCCATCAGCATCCATCCCGGTGGCTTTGGCAGCGGCTTGATGGAGTCTTCGGACGAGGAGACTCGCAAGATGCTGGAGAAGCTTATCCAGATGCCTCATATTAGAAAGGTGTGGAAGAGCGTTCAGCAAGGTGCTGCTACGAGTGTGTTGGCGTGTGTGGGTAAGCATTACGATGGCGTTGGCGGATTCTACATGGAGGACTGCGGTGTTAGCAAGCCTATTCCTGATGATACCAACTGGGCCGGATATGGTTTCAAGTCTTGGGCATTCGACGAAGAGGGAGAGAAGAAGCTGTGGGCTGATTCATTGAAGATGGTTGGATTAGAGGATGAGCTCTAGCTGATTTGAAGCCTTTCAAACCCGTCCAGCTCTGGAATTAAATCGACAGGTATTCCTTTTCCTAACACTCATTTGACTCCACTGTCTACCTAATTCTCGTGACATCGCCAACCCCTTCGCTTCATGAAGTAGTAGTGAAGAACAACCTAGAGCTCAGTAGACTAAAGCCGTTCGGAGATCCAAGCGCTGAGTTGTTCTTGTTATCCAAAATGAATGGAGCCTTTTTACACCGAGATTATCCACCAAAAAAATCCGTTTTCTACTTACTCTTCATGATGAAAGATCCAAACATGTCTAGTGCCTGGCCATGCAAGGCCGGATCATCGAGGCCAAATGAAACCTCAACTTCCACGTCTCCTCGAGATTACGGTCACATTTCCGAGGTTGTGTTGAATATCCTCATGTCTTCCCCTAATATGATAGACCAGAGATGGTGCCCTCGAATTGTGGACACCGCGATCTGGGCATCGTGTTGTGACGTCTGGATCGAACGGCGGTTGAATATGTGGGTTCCCCGACTTCTTATGTTTTATTTGGTATTGCAGATGAGAAAAGTTTAGTCGTGGGAACTGAGAGGCATCACTTTGTTCAGTGTAAAGTTGGCATATTCTGCTCAAGGTCTTCCACAAAGGGACTCTCGTATACTCAATTGGGACAATACGATCGGCGATGAATCATGTGGAATATTGGTTCACCCTGGTTTTCAATATGGGCAAGCAAACTGATTGGTAGGTTGTCTCTGTCGAAACTCTAAAAGTGCAGATATTAATCATCCTAGTCGTGGCCAGTGACAATTACAGTCTCAGAAGTTACACTCATGTGGGCAGCAGATGGGCGGAAACTCGAGGACGAGGTCAAAGCCTGGCCCCGGTCCCCGGCAATGCAACTATGATCATCGGCGAACCCAGTTGAGCTATGAATCGCGATGAGTATAGCGCCACGGGCATTGGAATAAAGGCATCCAACAACCAGTATTAATCTTCACCTCATATGTCTTTAGTTCATTCTTATGCCAATATTAGACGTTGACCCAAGAGTTCTCACTTAAGCGAACCCGATCCTTCTCTTTTCTACTCTCCCAGCTCAATCAACCAAAACTCAAATCCAACATGTCGCGCCCTGAAAGCCTCGGGGATCCCCTCAAAAAAGAATGGCAGTCCTCCGAAGCCCTAGCGAACGGTTCCTCTCTGGCCAGCAGTATGAAAGGCAGCGACGATTCGACCGACACGACGGAATTGCAAGAGAAAACAGAGCCCGAGCCCGAGATAGATGAGCCACCATATCCAACAGGCGTCCAGTTGGGACTCATTGTCTTTGCGCTGTTTTGCTCAGTTTTCATCGTGGCAGTCAGTCAAACCGTTCTTGCGACAGCCATCCCGACTATCACGAGCGTCTTCAACAGTTCCGACGATATTGCATGGTACAGCACTGGAGAACAGATCACGGCCGTTGCGCTACAACTTCCCTTCGGTCAAGCGTACTCGCTTTTCAATAACAAATGGACTTTCTTGACATCGGTGATCATCTACCTTGCTGGTAGCGCGGTTTGCGGCTCCGCCCCATCGTCAGTTGCCTTGATCATTGGTAGAGCCATTCAGGGTGTAGGCATGGCAGGTGTATTCGGCGGCTCATTCATCGTCATTGCTCGCATCACGCCGCTGAGAAAGCGTAGTCTGTTTGCGGGCTTATTCGGCGCTGCGTATGCCATCGCCAGTGTCATTGGACCTATCATGGGTATGTTGCTTGTTATCTATGTTATGATCTGGACCCAAACCTGATATTCCTGTAGGCGGTGCTATTACCCAGCGAGCTTCTTGGAGATGGTGCTTCTACTGTAAGTCTTCTTCTTTATCTCCATTTCATCAGTTCGACATCTAATTATCATAGTCAATCTTCCGATCGGAGCTGTAGTAGTTGCCGTCGTCATCTTCTGTTTGCCCCCTTCCCTCTGCCGGACCTCAGCAGAGCTCAAGTCCATGACCCCAATCCAGCTGGCAAAGAAGTTTGATCTTCTTGGTACTACTCTTCTACTAGCTTCTCTGGTCTGTCTTATGTTGGCTCTTCAATGGGGCGGTGGTGAATACCCGTGGAGTGACGCGCGCGTCATCGCAGTCTTGGTTGTGTTCGGCGTCACACTCCTCCCGTGGATGGCGCTACAGTACTTCCAGGGCGATGATGCTACAGTGCCTCTCAGTATCGTAAAGCAACGTTCCGTTGCGTCTTCTAACCTTTACCTGCTCTTCTTGAACGGCGCCTTCGGTGTTTTCATCTTTTATTTGCCTGTTTGGTAAGTTTCGGCGACTTGGCTATTCAGAGTTATCGCTTACACGGAAACAAATAGGTTCCAATCAATCCGGGGAGATGATGCCGAATCTTCTGGTTTGAAACAGCTAGCACTCTGTATTAGCACAGCTGTCGGTTCAATTGTAGCTGGAGGTCTTGTAATGGCTATTGGCTTTTACAATCCGTTCGTGATCATGGGTTCCCTCTTGGTCACAGCCGGTTCAGCGCTTTTGATGACCATTCAATCTGATGCTGCACTTGGCATACTGTAAGTCTACTATCTTTACTCCCGAAAGCCTTTCAGATTACTGATAAAATCTTTCAGTGTTGGCGCTCAGATTCTAGTCGGTGCTGGCGTCGGCGTCGGAGCCGAACAGGCCAACGTGGCCGTTCAGACCGTGCTGCCCAACGAAAAGATTCCCAAGGGCACTAGCCTGACCCTTTTCACGAGACTTTTAGGAGTAGCTCTGTCGGTTCCTATTGCGCAAAGCGTGTTCCAGCAAGAGCTTTCTAAGAACCTTGGTAGTGCTGTTGCTGCCAAGATTTACGGCGATGGCGGAGCAACTCAGATCAAGGACAACCTGCAAAAGATTTTTGGAGATGGGACCGCTGAGTATCAGAATGCATTGGACAAGGTCAACACTTCCTTGACGAGAACTTTCATGCTGGCCATGATCCTAGCCGCCATATCATTCCTCTTTGCAATTCTCTTGGAGTGGAAGAACGTCAAGAAGGAGAAGAGGTCATTCGACGATTCCAAGGAACAGAAGAGTCAGTCTGAGAATTAATTTAACGAAAGAAGCAAGAAATAATCAGGCTTCGGTGTATATTAGTACCAGAAAGCCGTTTTTCACCAGCGCCGTTGGTTGTAGATAGAGACAATTTACCAACAATACAAATACCAAGAACTGGCGAAACTTCGCATACGAGTTGGCTTTGATCTGAAACTTGTTTGATGCCTCTACAAGCGTTCACACGTTGCAACATATCGCAGGAGCACTCAAAGGAAAGAAAATGGCTGAGGACAAACTATCTCTCTGGCAATTGAGGTCACTATCGACCCCCAGGCCCAAACTCACCATTCTATTTAATCATAGACCAATCAATTGAATATGTAACCTAATTTGAACTACATTCATACCCAGATATAAGAATTAGTCTAAACCGTTGAGTGAGACGAGCTCACCACTACGAAATGCATGATTTTAGCAACAGCAAGTCAGGTGTTATCTCCACTAGAAACTCGAATACTTCATCGTCAATATTCGTGGGAATCATACTCTCTATACATTTTAGAGACATTTTGCTAAGTTATCGGTTTCGTGAGACTGTTGCTTCATGGCCTGGGATCTCACTGGCTGGAATAAAGTTTCGCTGTAGATCAACCGACTTTTCAATCGCCGTCTCCCCCTTGGGAGAAAGGAGCTCAATCGTTCTACAGCCAGATTCTAAAACAGTCACAATGATCTTGCGAAATGCATCCGGTAACGAGATTGTTCCAAGAGTCGTAAAGCTGAATTAGGAAGGCGGAACTATCCCACAAGCTCAGTTGGAGACCGGGAACTGAGAGTTGGGCCCGGGTCGGGGAATCGGGGTTGACACCGCTAACCACCGGCAAATCGCCAGCAGAACCCGGGGAAACACATTGGATGGCAGAACTCATCTCAAATGAATCGGACTTGGCACCGGGTCTTGGCGAGTATCGGTATTCTCCCAGTCCATCGATGTGTATGATTCAGTGATGACGGTCAGTAGCTCGAAGAACCGGCACCTCGGCACAGTAGTCAGGCAGAGCATGCGCCCGTTTTAGTTCAGTCCTATGAAAGACATTGAATGCCCACAATACGGACTTGAGCTTGTTCATGATCCAGGCACAGCTAAACCGAGACCGATTCCGAACCTTTGAATACACTCTTTTCGACGCAATAGGCAGAGTTGCGGATAGCTTCTAGCCCAATCGAGACTGCGTACGTTGCTACATTCGTTGAAAGAGGCCCAGTCCATGAGAATGCCTTCACTTCCGAGCCTTTCGGCCGTTGTTCTGGCGGCCGCAGGTATGGCTGGCGGCGCGGTTGCTGAAGAAGTGGGCATTGCAGGACATGGACTCATTGGCTATGGTATCACCATGTACCAGGTTAGTCGTTATATCCAACGTCGTGGAATCTGATGCACTAACTTCCCCCTGAGCCACTGTGTGCGTACTCATGTCGTGTGGCACTCTCGGCCAGTCCACTCAACTGCAGTAACGTAATTGAGACTCACGGCATGACTATGGCCGATACCTCGCCGGAATGCTATGCCAACGATAACGCCTTCCTCACTTCTTTCGCATGGTGCATTCATACGGTGAGCTCGGTACTCTTCATAGACCGAGACCATTAGCTGACTAGTATTTCCCCATAGAGATGTACTGATCTCTCAATATGGGAGATCGAAAAGTACTGGCAGTCGACCGAAGCTAGCATCCGGAATAGCCATAGGAGGCTTGACGAACCAGGCGTTAATGTCAACGCATACCCTCCAGCGCCGAAGTGGACATACCAGGAGGCACTCATCAATGTGAACGGAACTCCCACAGCCACTGCGGTGTTTGCGATGCCGCTGAAAGAAAAGTCTTTGGTGTCAGATGCCGACTATCAAGTGCAGTACAATACCATGGGGATGTTTGAGAAGATGGAGGTTGCCCACGAGAGATATGGGTAAGTCCTGTTTTATATTCTATAGCATGAAGTCTTACTAACCTCGTCAAAGTCTCGTCCTAATTGCGCTCGGCGCGGCAGTCCCAATCTTCTTCTCATTGCTTCGGTTCATCCCGCTGCCCAAATTGCTTATCTCAAAGATCTACGCTGTCTTTATCGACCCACCGTTGTTCGGGCGGAGACACAAGGCTCCTTATTTCAACTTGCTGATCATGCCAACACGTGGTCAGGCGATATTGATCCTCTACATGGTAGCTGTCAACGTCGTCCTCAGTGGTGTAGGCTACGACTCAGCCCAGCCCAACGCCTGGTGGGTCAATAACAGGGACCAGGAGCTCTTGACGTCCTTCAGCAATCGCATGGGTGTCTTGAGCTTTGCCAATCTACCGCTTCTTATCCTCTACGCTGGGAGAAATAACTTCTTATACTGGGTGACCGACTGGACCCAGTCTACTTTCATGCTGTTGCATCGGTGGACGGCGTACTTCTGTACTCTCCAGGCTTGCCTCCACTCGGCAGCTTGGCTTCAGATCTACGTCAGCATGGATCAGCATGATATCGAAGCCAAGCTGCCCTACTGGGTCTGGGGCATCATCGGTACGCTGGCAATGAGCATCCTGTTGCCTGCTTCGGTCATTCCCTTCCGCGCCAAACTCTACGAGCTCTTCCTGGCTGTACACATCGTCCTCGCTGTTTTTGCGGTGGTCGGATCCTACCTACACATTGTCTACAGGTTCCAGAACCAGTGGGGTTATGAGATCTGGATGTATATCTGCTTCGCCGTTTGGGGATTCGACCGGATAGCGAGAGTGATCCGGATGGCGAGAAATGGCTTGATGTGGGCTGACATCACCGTCATCGACGAGGAGTACATGCAGTTGGACATTGACGGCGCGGTTGGGAGCGGACACGCCTACCTCTACTTCCCAACACTTACGTGGCGACCCTGGGAGAGTCATCCGTTCTCGATTTTGGCGTCCAGGGTAAAGCCTGCTTCAGCAAAGTCGATGAACAACAGTATCATGCCCCCTCAGAGTTCGGGTAACTCATACTCAAAGGAGTCCAGTGTCATGGAGGTGGCTACTGTCAAGGAGAAGACCCGCGTCGGGCTCTCGTTCCTGGTCAGATCCTTCACGGGGGCAACAGGAATGCTTCGCTCACACACTCGGGTGCCAGTCTTTGTCGAGGCGGGATACCTCCCCCACCACGACCTCAGCAAGTATCAAAGACTTGTCTGCATCATAGGAGGCGTTGCCATCACAGCTGTAGCCCCAGTTCTGCAGACGTATCCTGGGAATGCGAAGCTCTACTGGTCTTCACGAACCGAAGGGCTCGTTCAGAGTGTTGATCTCAATGGCGTTGACGCAAACGTCTCTGTCGGCAACAGATTCAGGCTCCGCGCAGTCCTGGAGGAGGAAGTAGGCAATACAGACGGCAGCTTAGCGGTCGTCGTCAGTGGGCCTGCGCCGATGGTGGATGAAGCTCGGTGCCTTGTGAGCGAACTCGCCCTGCGGGCACCTATCCCGATAACCTTTATCGATGAGACGTACATATGGTAATCTTGGTCAGTTTGCTATTTCAACTTATGCCATTTATTCAGTGGTGATTACTGTCTGGAAAAGGGCTTGAAGATGGAGTATCACATAGCGAAATCATAGCTCGCCTTGGCCTTGACGTATTAAATTAAATGGTGTAGTCGTTCAGTCCACGGCTGACGCTCTTGTTAAAAAGACTGTTCGTTGTCGTGGAAAAACAGCAAGTTACAACCAGTATCGTGAGGGATTTCCTTTGCCGCCAAGGGAGAATAGTGTATGTGTGTAAAGCTTCGGTTCTACAACAGCAAGTAAGTCTAAATGCGAGTAAGTCAAGTTGCTCTTGGTGTCCCGACGTCAAGGTTCTTCAAGGCGATGTATGATCTTCAATCTAGGAGTGAGGCATCAAATGGCACTTACTTTTGCAGAAACTAGTCCCAATACAGTCAGAGTGACATCTCGTTCGCATCTAAAGACAAGTCTTGGCCTGAATAAGACATCACAGAGGATTATCTTCTATTATTAGTGTGCGAAGGATGTGGCACATTTGATAGCTGAACCAGGTTCATGACGATACTATGGTTTTCGGCGAATCAGAAATGTTGCTCCAGGGTCATCTGTGGCTGCCTGCCCGTCACGCATGCTATTCAACTTCTCAAAATTGTCCCCGAAAGGAAGCTTGGCAGCCATCATAAGGACAATGAGTCCATGACTGAGAATCCTTTTCCCGAAACGTATTGATGAAGCTGCGGTCGTCCTTTTCAAGTAATTGTAATTGTAGTCTTTGGAGATATCCCGGTCGCATTTGGCGACTTACTGTGAGCAGAAAGTGAAGCGAATGAGCGGGCTGCAATCAAGCGAGCCATGGACAGCACCATCGCTTCAGCCCATCGACTTCATCAACAACTGCACAACATACGGTGCATTTGCAGCACCGAATCTTCGTCATGGTTCTCATAGAGTACCACTGCCAGATGCTGAAGCGTATCTGATCGACGCCTTCAAACACCATAATGCATCCGCGATACTGCCTTCGAGGTCTCAGCTCATCGGTTGGTACGACAATCTCACTGCGGACGAGCCTGGGTCTTGGACCTTTTCACATATGCGCGAACCACCCATGGTTCTTCCGATCTGGGTGAATAGAACCGACCTCGGGGGTTTTGATGAGGAGTGCGCTGTCGAGCTTCGCTCTCATCTCGACTTTGAAATGGATGGCGATATTGTAGGAATAGGTGTAGGTACATCCCTCAACTCATGGATTTATGAGAGAATCCGGCTTTTGGCATTCTCGAGACATTGCAGATCATGTTGGAGTTTCATTGGTCTAGCCTTGACTACATATAATGGCTTTATACTACAGCGAGGGAATTCATGCAACAATCTTTAGCTTTCTGATCATTCTAGGCGGTACTAATGTCTCTACAGTTGGAATGAAGTCAGGTCTGGAAGGACGACTAGCGGCCGGCTACGAAGCTGTTCCAGTGAGCACTGGACTTGATGAAAGCGCTGAACATGTTCCTCTCAGAAATTTTGGGGTCTAGAATGGAAGTCATAGCATACAAATACGGATACCGCATTAATACATTTTCTTTCAACTCTTGAGTTAAGCCAAATACTTCAACTACATCTGAAAACATTCCAGCCAGCATTAATGGAGTTCATTCTTCGATCTTTATCAAAAAGCCTTGGAAGAAATAGAACACCAACGACGAAACTGGTAGCATTATCATCGCAAGTTGTGTCATGTCACGAATAGTTAATGTATCAGCCAGCGTGATATCTCAGCGTGTTCAGAAAGCAATTCAGAAGTTCTGGATAAGTGCTCCAGAGATCCTGCCCAGTTAATGTCAAAATGCCCACTACTTCATTGAAACAGTTACAAAATGCATCACATGATGAATTAAGATCATTACACTGGTCATCGCGGAGTACAGAAGCTCTTATTCTCACGCGCAGTCGTGCCCGGAGCTCGCGAGTGACATGTCTGGTAGTCATTGCGTATCTGATGATGAGATGACACCGATATGCAACTAAGCGGGATCGGGAAGCTCAAGCGCGGAATTGTGCAGCTTTATGCTCGCCCAAGCTCCGATAAGCGATAAGCTCCAAGCGATGTGCTTGGCCCTCGCGAACCTGCCGCTGTGCCGCTGTGAGAATCAGACGCCTCGGCAGGCCCCTTTCATCACAAGCAGAAGGCGCAAATCAAAGCTGTGACTGTCACAGCAATGGACAGTCTTTCGAGAAACAACACAACCCATTGAAAGATGCTAAGTGGTACCTGTACGCGGCTGGCCATCGTGGCCGCCGTCTTCCTCGTCGCGGCAATCTTCCTAGTTCCCCAGCTCCCCCACGTAGGCTACAACGTGCCCACTCAGCTTGGCCACAACACCCCAACGACCGACAGCGGCAAAGATGTTTCGAACGGTGCCGGTAAGCCGAACGGCCCCGTCGGCGATCATGCCAACGAAGTGATCACATCTCTGGCTTCGATTGCCACATCGCAGAGCGTGGCAAACGCGGCCCCGAAGCCTACACCCGCCTCCACCATAGGCGCGAAACCCGATGCGAAGAAGACGGTCTCCAAGCTCGAAGCTGGTCAGTCGTTGTCGCCATTCCGTCTCGCCTCACCAAATGGTCGCTACGAACTCAGCCTCCTCGAGAGCGGTTCCCTTTCGCTCCTCGACACCAAGACAGAGATCGAGCTATTCACGTCTGATACCGAGTACCACTGGCCCGTGTCATGGCAGGTCGAGCTCACACAGGAGGGCGTGCTGATGCTCTCCTGGGCCAATGAGACTGCTGCTCCGTACGGCGCAACGCCGTGGATCTCGAACCTCCTGCCCGAGTGCGCCTCTGTTGAGAGTGGCGATGGGAAGCCTGTACTGGAGCTTTTGGACTCTGGGAAGCTGCATATTCGCGCTGGGAGCAAGACAACGTGCCTTCTTCACCGGGCCACAGACGATATGGGACGTCTCGCGATCGTGTATACCGGCTTTTTGCGCACCTATCTGAAGACCTGCAAGGAGCAGAACAATAAGCTCGTCAAGACGTGGACTGGAAGCGGCGGTGTCGACGTACACGTGTTCACGTACCTGGAAGATGTCGTCCACGATTCCGGTGACCCAGTGGACAAGGACAGCATAACCAAGCACCTGAAGTCATGCTTCGGAGACGCGCTCAAGACTGTGGAGATTTTGAAATTGGACAATGTGAAGGAGAACGCTGTTGATCCTCCGGAGGTGCTGGTGAAGGAGTGTGGCAACGACAAGCTCAACCACCAGCTCAGCCAGTGGAAGGCACTCTACCTCGCCAGCCTGCAGGTGCAGAGCTACATGATCAAGGAGGGCGTCTCTTACGACTACATCTACAAGGGCCGCCTCGATCTGCTGTACTGGGGCGACTCGCCTGCCCTCTCGTCACTCAAGGTACCCGAAAACGGTATCTTGGCACCCCGCGTAACTCTGGATTGGACCTGGTACGCCATGCTCCACGACGGCGAGTTGCGCGCAGGCGTTACAGATATCACCGCCTTTGGGCGCCCCAATGCCATGTTTACCTACCTCGCGCTCTACCGCGAGTTCATCCACATGCGGACCCTGGAGAAGGAGGCGGCGAAGTGGAAGGGATTTAATACCAAGACCAGGGAGAAGAGGCCAGAGGGTCAGGAGGGCTGTACGCCTGAAGGTATCTTGGCGTATTGGCTGCGGATCAATGGAATCGCTGTGAAGACGGACTGGCAGTTCAAGATGGGTCTATTGCGTGGAGACGGGAAGGTCATTTTCACTTGCCCTGAGGGCAGAGGTTGGCTGTGCCCTGGTTTTATTCCGCAGGTTCACGACGATGGAACCCTCTTTTGAATAGTTGTTGTATGATACGAATAATGACATGTTTACCGTCGATATTACGAGCACGAGGCTTGGCCCCCTAATCCATGCTTCATGCGAATGGAAGTGCCACAGAAAAGGTGGCGCTTGTGTCGGATTTCATTAGCCGTGTTATTCGCTAGCCAGTACATCAAAGGGGTTTGAAGACGCTCTTTTCTCGGGCCTCATACGAGGTTCTGCATCGGCCATCTTCTTCCGTTTCTTCTTCTGGTTTTTGGCTTCTTTTGATGGCAAAAGCAGATCGTCCGAGATACCCAGTGCCGAGGCGATCTTATTAAGTGCACCGCTGGACTTCATACTCGCGAGAAGGCGCATTGTTCCGTCAACTGATGGATATTCCGTGAGAGATGGCAACGTGGACAACAACTCGCGCAGTTGCTTGGAGCCTTGGATCGGGTCTTTGGCTCCGACCTCGTACATGAGATCCAGGACCTGCGCCAAGATACGGAGAGAGTAGAGCGTCGCGTGGATCTGGGCTGATACGTGCACGACGTCCCACGGGACGAGGTTCGAGTCTGCCGACACAGATTGGGCGAGCTTGACGGAATTCAGACACGCGTCCAGCTTATCTTCTTCCTGCGCGTGAGCAAGCAGAAGCTGCAAGCTCACTGCCTGCCAGGTTGAGCTCTTCTGGCTAAAGCTATTTTTGGCCTTGGTCAAGGTCTTCAGAAGGACATTCACCGAGTCCTTGATCCACGGCCGGGGCAACATCGCCATGTACTTGCCCTGGTTCACGCCAGACGACATTCTCCGGTACTCCCTCACATGGGAGACGGCTCCAGGTCGCAGTAGACATGTGAGGCTGTATGCCAGCTGTCGTACAGAGGCGCTGGTATCCCACGCGCTGGCGCGAGCCGGACAGTCCAGGAGGGGCGGAAGACACATCATGCAGCCCGCGGCGCCGGATTCGCCCGCGGGCGGCTTCACTACCCCGGAGTAGCCTACACATTGCAGAACGACCTCGGATAGCCTCGCGTCGAGGTAGGGCTTGTCGAGGCTGCCTAGGACCGGCACAGCGCTCCAGTCTGTAGTCTCGAGTGTCTCATACGGCGCGCAGAAGGCGCGGAACTCTTCCGGATCTACGAGCTCGCCTTTGCAGTTTTCGAGGACTTGTGCGAATTTGGGCCGGGTGGATTTGGAGAGCTCATAGGCGAACCTGCGCATGCCTTGGTCCTCTGGAAGCTGTAGACGTTTGGCAATCTCCGAGGGTGAGAATTTGGGGCCCAGGAGAGCAGATTTGCCGTCGTCGGTTGGGCCGATGTGTAGGTCTCTAAAGAAGGCGACGGATCCCGTCTTCAGGTCGTGGACGGTGAGATCGGAGTCCGAGGTCAGGATGGTTCCCCCGTTGCGTAGGACGTCTTCTGCGCAATAGGCGTCTGCTTCGCCGGGGACCAGGCGGACGAGAGAGGCATACTTTTCGATCGATTCTAGCTTGTCGACGATGGCTGCAACGAGGAATGCTGGCGGTGGGATCAGGGGCTGATCTCGTTTGGGGGCGTCGGTAGGAAACAGAGGCGGCAGTGAGAGACGAGTTGATGCGATTTGCTTTGCTGGGCATCCGTTGGGAAAGCCTGAGCGGAAGATTTTGAGGGATGAGGATACCTTGAGTATCCTCTCCAGACGGACTTCTGCTTTTGATGCTGGGAGGAAGCCGTCAAAGTAGATGGCGGAGCTTATTAAACGTCAGCGTATATCTGTTGATGCTTTATGAGAAAGATTTACATGGATATATCATGATTGGTGACTTCTTCTAGCCATCCTATGGCGGTTCTTCCGAGTATGTCGTAGCATGGTAGGCCGGAAGTGCTTCTTGTGCAGAGATGGTAGATGTGATACGCCAATGCAGGGCCATCAATGACAACTCTGTCGCCATCGAGGGCCCCAAACACTCCATAAGGGGACAGATGATTCAGAAGATGAGGAATTCCCATGATTGTACAAGGTAAGGAATCTACCCTACAAATTGACATTAGAACTTTATCATGTACGAAAACTGGCTCACTCGGGGGCTCAGAATTAAGCGGCCAGTACATTGCAAAATCTCTTCCACTGACCTAATCTTCTGAGTTACTTCTATGTGCTGCTTCGCCAATTGGTCCCGCGTCTTGGAACTTGATCAAATCCTTTGACTATGCCAGTTCAATCTCCTTCAGTTGGTCCCGCCATAAGAAACCCATGGGATGTTAGGACATGAAGTTGGAGTATCGCAAGACATCTCCCAAAGTAAGGTAGTTGCCATGACGGAAGCAGCGATCAGAGCTCCTGCAGAAACTCATCGCGGGGTCACGGTGCGATACACACGGTACGTACAGTCCCCACCAATCTTACCTACCTTACCTGAGGAAGCGACGATTGGAAAGGGTATCTCCGGCCCGGATAAATACAGTGTGATGATAGCTCCTTCCCGCCCAATCTATGTGCCTACACTGTCCGCTCGACTCCACCGCGGCGCCTTGCTCCGTGCCCGCCCGTTTTTCGGCTGAACAGCCCCCTTGTCCCCAACTCAATTTTTCCTTCGCAGGAATAAAAGCTCCCCACCTCGCGAACCAAACCTCTTCGCCTTTCGCATTCTTCTTTTCAACATGCGCGGCACTCTCATCTTCGCGGGCTCCTCCTGCCCAGTCCTCACTAATCAGATATGTGAGAACCTGGGCATGGCTCCTGCCCAGGCGGAGCTTACCCAATTTTCCAATGTAAGCTGAAAGTGCGCATCGCTGGGCCGTCGACCACCAAGGGCGGGGGAAACGCCGCGTTCTTGCTCACAAACTCCCCATGATGCCATCACGGGGAGAACAGCAGTCGCGGCCGCTCCCACTGCCTTGATTGGATCAATTCCAACTTTGTTTGGACTCCCTGTTGAGGCTGACCCGTCACATAAAAGGGCGAGACGAGCGTGCGAATCTTGACCAGCGTCCGCGAGAAGGATGTCTTTGTCGTCCAGTCCGGCAGTGCCAAGGTTAACGACACCATCATGGAGTTGTTGATCATGATCTCGGCCTGCAATGGCGGCTCAGCAAACAAGATCACTGGTAAGCTAAGTTCTACTCCCTCTCACAATCGTCTTATGGTGCTAACGCAATCGCTTCTCAGCTGTGCTTCCGTACTTCCCTTACAGTCGCCAGTCGAAGAAGAAGTCCCACCGGGGTGCCATCACAGCAAGAATGCTTGCAAACCTCCTCGGCGTGGCCGGCGTTAAGCACGTCATTACCGTCGACCTGCACGCTTCCCAGATGCAGGGCTTCTTCAAGTGCCCGGTTGACAACCTCCACGCCGAGCCTCTCATTGCGAGATGGATTCGTCACAACGTGCCCAACTGGAAGGAAGCTGTTGTCGTGTCCAAGAACGCGGGCGGAACCAAGCGTGTGACATCGCTTGCAGACGCATTGAAGCTCAACTTTGGCATGGTCACAACAGAGAAGAACCGAAAGGGAACCAACATGACATCGAGCATGATCATGCACCACCTGGACAACCTCGATCGGGAACCCGTGTTGGAGACGACGCGTGAGCCACCCAGACCTTCCACACCTCCCGCTGCACCTGGCCGAGCTGCCAGGGTTAGAACAGACGCACACGGTTCCCCTCAGTTCACCAGCGCTCCGAGATCCCACCCCAGATCGACGGACGACCGGCCCACGACACCAACCCAGTCCAAGCCTGGCGACGGGTCGGTTGACGATGAGGAAGAGGAGGGAGATGCGCAGTACGATGATCGTCGCGCCCATGAGGTTACGCACGGTCGATTGGTTCAGGGTCACATAGTGGACGACGACTATCCATCGCCAGCTGCATCGACCGTAAGCGGCAGTGTCCAGGGGGATGACCCCATGACGATGTCTCACGCATCATCATTCTTTGCTCCCGAGCCCCATGCCCTAGGAGGTTCCGGAGACGCGGCCCCGGAGTCGGATGAAGAGGATGAGGTCTTGAAGGACCCCAAGGTCGAGCACATGATCACGTTGGTCGGCGATGTCAAGAACAGAACCGTCTTCATCGTCGATGACATGATCGACAAGCCCAACTCGTGGATCGCCGCTGCCGAGACAGTCGTCAAGAAGGGCCGCGCAAAGAAGGTCTACTGCATGGCCACCCACGGCGTGTTTGGCGGCGACAGCCTCGACCAGCTACAGGCGTGCGAGTGCATCGATACCATTCTCGTGACCAACAGCTTCCCCATCCCCGAGGATCAGGCCAAGCGGTGCCCCAAGCTCGTGGTACTGGATCTCTCCTTCCTCCTTGCTGAGGCGATTCGCCGTAACCACTACGGCGAATCAATCTCCCCTCTGTACCAACACATTCTGGACTGAAAAGATTTTCCGGCGAGAGAGCGTGCAAGGATTGTCTCGGTTACAGTTCGCCTAACACGGCTTCTTTTTCTGCTTTTTCCTATCTTGGACTGGCTCAGGGATTCTCTTCTTTTTATTGAGTTCCAGTCTGTGTGTGGCATACTACGGGGGATAGGGGGCATTTCAGCGCGGCGTTCTGGGCTTACACCGGCAAAGAGTGGAATGGCCAAAGATGGTGGCAACCAAAAAAAAACATCACGCGTTCCCAAGGAGACTTTGGTAGGTCTTGACAACATCAACACAAAGCATGGTCAGTATTAGACATGAATGATGAAACTTTGATACCTTTTTCAACCGGGCCGTCATCCAGTATGGCGTGTGCGCGTGTTCCACTGATATACCTTTTTCTCATTTTCTTGATGGGAGACTGGGGTTGCATTCGTTGAATCACCCTTTCTTACCTTTCACACCAACGATGCTGTTTTCTGAACAGCCGGGGCTCAGTTCATCCCAGAACAGGCCTTGAACGGAGCGTTGGCAGATTAATTTTCGACTCAAAGAAGATCCCTCTTCCGGTCGTCTTCATGACGGCCACAGCCTCCGGGACTGGTGGGAGAGGGATAAGAGAAACCTTCGAACATCTCTTCGAGTGATATATGTGTGGATGAATGACTTGATCATAGTCGGATACATATACCGACTTTCTTCTTTTAGTTTCCTCTTTTGATAATAATACAAATCAACTTCCAACCTTTTTTTTTTGCCTTTTCGTGACATCGTCCCATGAGTACGTACAGACACGCATACCGCACACTTTAGTCCTTCGTGACGCCCCTTACCCGGAATTTTGGAAACACAACGTCGAGTTCGTCCACATCTCTCGAGTAAACATAGCAAAGTTTCCTCGCTCCCTACTCAAACAATTCCCACCCGTGAATCTCGTCCAACAGCTGCAGATACGTGCTCTTCTCGCCCTCCTCCTTGACGGCCGCAACATCCTGAAGCAGCTCCTCGCCAAAGTTGCCCGCGCCCGCGGCCTTGATGATGCGCCACGCACGGCGGAATTCGTCGCGGATGGCAACGATGCCATTGTGCGTGACCGTACGGGCGACGTTGTGGTCTAGTTCAAAGGGATCTTCGATGGCGAAGAGATAGCGGTGCCGGACTTCCTTGACTTCGCCATTCTTCTGCGCCGCTGCCGATGCTGCCGCGCTGCTGTCGGTTGAGGTGGTGATGGTGCCGCTGGTGGTTGTCATCGTCGTCGGGGTAGGCGGGTCGATGGGCGACTTCAGGGTCATGTGTTGTCCCTGCAATCCGGGGAGAGGACCGTCGGTGCTCGGGGAGTTGGCGGTGGCGGCGTTGTTGGCGTTGGGACGGTACTCGATGACCGTCTTGGCGCCCGTCCAGCCCTTTTCCGTCTTGGAGAGCAGGCCGCCCGGCGAGCGGATGCTGAGGACGTCGCGGCCCCAGTCGTAGCCTCGGCCCGGGTAGGTGCTCATGGAGCCGTTCTGGGCGTAGTACTCGAAGAAGCCGCGGAGGAGCTGGCCGACGGAGTCGCGGTTGCCGTTGAGCTGGTTCATCTGCGCGAGGCGGAGGATCTCGGCCTCGTCGCGCCAGAAGCCGACGAAGCGGCCGCGGCAGATGATGTTCTCGTCGCGCAGCGCAGGGGAATTGGAAGGCAGGCCTTCTGGGGGAGGAGGCGGGGGGCCGAGGGCTTGGAGATTGGGGCAGACGAAGGGCTGGACTACGTTGACGAGGTAGTGCAGCATCATGAGGACGTAGCCGTAGCTGCTGAGGGTGCCGCGGTACGGGGTGTTTACGCCGCGGACTTTCGCCCAGTGCTTTACGAAGAGGACGAGCGGGCGGACGCGGGGGTCGGTATGGGAGTAGCAGCGGAGGAGGAGGGTGTTATGCAGCGCGAGATGGGCGGCGAAGTTGATGTCGCACTGGACGCCGACACCGTTCTTGGGGAACTCGAGCTTGTCGCGATAGGGGTCGCGGGGTTGATTGATGGCCATCTTGGCCGGGTCCTTGAGGTCGCGCATGCGCTTAATGGTCTCCATGTTTTGCTTGGTGACGGGGATGACAAATTCGTACTGGGGGTCTTGGACGTTGCTCTTCCGCATGGGACCGCGGAGGATCGAGATGTATTCTCTTACGTCGTTCTCGATGCTCGGGTCATACAGGTGTTGGTCGACTGCCTTTTCGAGTTCGAGTGCAAGTTGTAGACTCTTATGGCGGCGCGCGACGGTGAGGAGGCTGAGTGGTCCGTTGGTGGTGTCGATGAACTCGCGTACACTCTTGCGAGTGGTGCTCGGCCAGATACCGGTCGCGTACCTATCGATGATGAGTTGTTTTGCGGCTGTTGCATCAGGGTCGCTCCGGGGCCTGAGATTGGCGAGGATCTTGAGGGTCCTCGCGTGGTACCCGGAAGCTGCTTCAAACTGGCTCTGTTCGAGAGTGAGCAGCTGCGCAATGGCAAGCTTTTTGAGCTTCTCCAGGTACAACTGTAGATGCTTGCTGTACGTGAGGGGCTCGATGCCAAAGTGCTGCTGGTTCTGGAGGGTCTTCCAAGACGCAATCAAATTCCGAGTTGCATCATCTGTGTCGTCTATGCTTCCAATTTCAGCCTCTCTCTCGCAGAGCATTACAATCCTCTCGCCTTCCATCTGGGCGTACACGCCAGCCAGGGACCGGTAGTTGAGAACATTGGGAATTGTCTTGAAAGATAGAGACAGGTAGTTTGAGAGTCTGTGTCTCAGCGGCACATCGCGGATACCCTTCAGGAACGCTTCGCAAACCTTATTGAGTAAGTCGTAATCTTCCTCTACCAGCTCGCGACAGTTGGAGAGAGTGACATCTCGGCCTCCCAATCTTCTCAAAGTCCGCTTCGCTACATTATAGTAAGCGGACAGAGACTGATTCTCAGGCTGGTAAATGGCCGGCACTCTGGGGTGGTTCAAGTTGGAGTCTGCAGGAGACAACTCGTCCGTCTTTGAGTTGTTTGGGTCTTCGATCGTTTCATCCGTCATTTCTTTGGTGTGGGTATCAGCCGTCTCGTCATCGTCTGCAGCATCTGCATGGTCGGTATCCACGATGCCCTTTTCCCACTTTTCACGCTCTTCCAGGAGATCCTTGAGCAGCTTCGCGGGAGGGCTCTGACAAAGCTTGATGATTGGTACTCTCGTACGGGTCAGCAAACGCGCGCCAAGGCCGATTTCGAGGAAAGCCTTCTCGATGAGCCTAGGTATCGCGGAACCCGACTCGTCCGGCTGAGGTGTAGAGAGGGGTGAGACCAGACCGAGATCCATATCTGAGGCTTTCGTTGCGAACCCAGAGGACAGACTGCCGAAGCACTTGAGTTGTACAGACGGCGGGGGGAAGTTCTCCAGACCATTTTGAGTCGCCTCATATTCGGCAACTGCAGCCTGGCACACTTGTTCGATCTTAACTCGAAAGGCTTCCTTCTCGGCGATCTCTCCTCTTTCAATCTCTGCGCCGGCAACAAGAGTGTTGCAGAGGCTTTCCAAGTAGGAGGCCTGGTTTTCCAACTCCTCGGGCCGGACTGGGTGGTGTTGACCACGGGGGCTGTAGAGCTGGCCATGGTTGCTCCGTGGAAAACGCGGTGAACCGTGCTCTTGTTGACCACTTGTGTTCTGGTCATGCTGGTATCGGTCAGAGTTGGCGAGGTGTCGATGTCCGTTCTGTCTTGGGGAGCGAGGTGACATGCCGCCTGCGAGGTGAGACGGCCTATGGTGCAGGTCTTGGTTATGATAAGTCTTGCCTGGTCGCCCTTGAGGCGGGAATCTAGGATGCTCGTGAGGGTAGGAAGGAGAAGGCCAGCCTGTGTAGGGTCGTCCAACCTCGGTAGGTGGGGAGGGTCGAGTGTCAATGGGAATGGACAGCTGAGCATTCATCTGTCGTCTCTGCGCCTGGTTGAGTCGCTTTCTGCCCACTTTAGGCGAGGGTGGTGGTTTGCCATTGACCCCGGCTGAAGCTTCGGAAAGATCTCCATGGGGTTGAAGATGATCGTTCGGTCCATTTGCTGGGATTCCGCCGCCGGGTAAGTGCGCGGCTGTTCGTGGCGCATCTTGGACCTGAGGCTGGCCGGTTGCTGGAGTACCGTTGGTGAGAATCATGTTTCGCAACTGGTCCTCAAGCCCATTGGTCTGAGAGCCACCAAACTGGCCCATGCCGGAGTTTCTGGTACTATTATTCATGGTTATTGCTGCTTGGAGGCGTTATCATCCGAGACGATAACTTGAGCACAGCTAAAGGAAGGGTGAAGCTTCTGTCAGAGTTGATGAGATGGGTGCACTGAAAATAGGCGCAGAGCATTTACCTAGTCAGACACGTCCAGGACGCATGGCTTGGACAGTCGGATGGGGAGGATTGGGGATTTGGTTGACAGAGATGGAGGCAAGTAAGATGGTTGTGATTGGGAAGCTTGTATTCAGTTTCCGATTGGCGATCACCTCATTCATGTATGTAGGTGGTGTAAATGGAACTTCAAGTGAGGTGGAAGCTTTACGTGGGGAAGTAGGTACATTCCGCAATGAGGGGCTACAGTCTCAAACTTGTGGCGCACTGTAATTGTACTGGTACATGCAGCAGGTCGCTCACTGTACACATACCGTACGTAAGGTAAGGTAGTGAACTGTGAAGCAAGGTACCTCAGGTACCTCCATGTGGATAGCTAAAACCAAGAATTGTGGAATGAATTGGATGCTTACTATTTATCTCACATATTTTGCGGCCTTCCACAGTCTCCCGTCGTAAAGTCATTGACTGGATTCTCCTATTCCCCCTTTCAGAACAGCAAACTTCAAATTCCCCTTTCTTGACGTGCTATCGGTATCGTGCCTGGACTCGTACTTATTGCCTGGGTTTTTACAAATATATGGACCAGTCAAGGGCGCGCATATTGATAACGGTTGACGTTGTCAAGGCTGAACATCCTATTAATAGTCAATAGAAATAAGGCATTGATGTCGTGCTTCAAGCCAGGGGCACTCTGCACGCATGTAAGATTAACTCCTTGAAGTAGTTGAAGGAAAGCTAGGTTTTTTGTTCATTGCAACATCTGTCCTTGCTGTTGAAGCTACTAGGTGAGGTACGGCAAGTTAAGGACAGTCAGTCCATCCCAATGACGTCCTACCTCAGTGAGGCTTGCCCTTTCCAAATGCGGTTCCACAGCCACTGGCGAATTGTGAGGCACTGAGTACGACCGGCCCAGAAAAGTACCCAGCACGCTGGGCTTACTTTTGGTTGATTCATTGGCTACAAATGTACCGCGCACCAAACTTTTGCCGGCAAACTACAATCAAGCCTGCACCTGAGGTACCTTACCTTAGCACCGTCTCCGCCTAGCTTTTCTGCAAGCTCTCCAAGCTGCCTGGGCAGGTGCGCCTGATTTCTGAGCGCGCCTTCCAATCGTCCTTTCCCGTATGCACCTCATCGTCCGGGCATGCTCTTTGTCATCACCTCGACCTCTTCATCTTCGCCAATTCATCCATACTTATCAATTCGCGAGTACAAAACCGCCGATCGAGCTAGTTCTCGAGACTTTTTGGCGGATATTGATATCCAACTCTCTGTCGCATCACCGAGTCTACCGTCACCAGCCATTCTCTCTTGCGCCGCGGTCCTAGGCAACTGTGCAAGCCTCGCTCCTGCCTACGCTTTTGACTTGCGCTTGACAGAGCCTGCTTGACGACGGGAAAATAAAGCATCGCTCACTATAACCATCCCGAGACAACAGCCTGCCGGAAGCACTCTCGAGTCTCACGCGCCCGCTGACAGCATGAGCGCGCCGCCACCAGGTCTGCCCAACGGCCAAAACCCGAATGGCCTACCTGGACAGCCTGGACAGCCTGGACAGCATGGACAGGCTCGTCCTCCGATCAAGCGACGGCCCAAGGGTGATCCCCTTGTTGCCCGCAAGCGACCTGGAGCTCCGCGACCGGCTGCCTCGCGTCCCCCTCCAGGCTCGCTGCAAACCGCCTCAGGAGCTCGACCATCTGCCGGTGGAACAGGCCACCACGGCCTTCAGCGACCCGAAACCGAGGAAGATATCAGAGCGAAGAGAGCGGCAAACGGAGGCTGGCTCGACCCCGCGCCCCAGAATGTCAGGGAATTCAAGATCGTTACGACCAAGAAGGCGTTGAAAGATGGTGTCAGGCATCACGTTATGAAACTCTCTTCCGCCAAGGCCGAGCTCGAAAGGAACGGCATTGATCCCACAAATCAAGATGAATTCACCCGACCTGTCACTCTTCAACGTCGCGACCCACGACAGCCGCCTCCCGGACGTGAAGTCAAGCATGAAGAGCCCGAGCCACAACCAGTTGATGAGAAGGAAGCCGAGCGTTTGGCACAACTCAAGGCCGAACGTGAGGCTGTTCGAGCTGTGGAACTCGCCAAGAGTGCACCCAGTCTAAAGGATCCTAGTCTTGATAAAAAACCCAAGCCGAAGGAGAAGGAGAAGGATGTCCAGTTCCACCGCCAGCCTCGGTCGGAGAAAGAGAAGAAGCAGCAAGGCTTACGATACGAGGAGGCGCTCCCTTGGCACCTGGAGGATGCAGATGGCAAAAACGTCTGGGTCGGATCATATGTCGCGCCTCTATCCGAGACCACCGTCTGCTTTGTTGCTACTAGAGATGGCAAGTTTGCGGCGATACCTCTGGAAAAGTGGTACAAATTCACTGCGAAGCCCCATTTCAACACCATGAGGCTGGAAGAAGCCGAGGCTTTGATGAGTAAAAAGACAGACATAGGCCGATGGTACATGCGCGACAAGCAAAAGAAGAGTGAGCAAGAAGAATGGGAGGCGACCAGACATGCTCTGTACGGTCCTGCGAGAATCAAGACAGAAAGTAGCACCTTCAGAGCTGCTTCTCGGGAAGAAAAGCAGGACCATGACGAGATTGACATGGAAGGCGACGAGTTCCAGGATGATGACGAGAATCCTGGCTTAGACGTGGACAATGATGAGGATACTAAGGAGGCCACTGACCGTATCCGTCGAGATCAAATGGGCGCCAATCTCTTTGGCGAGGCCGACGAGCGCAGAGTAGAAAAGGAGTTGAACGAGATGAGGAAAGCCGAGGAGGAGCGTCGCAAGGAAGGAAAACGAACCACCAAGGCACTCATCAAGAGAGAAAAGGAGACTATTTACCAATCAGATTCGAGTGGTTACGATCCTTTCGAGTCTTCGTCGGTAAGATACTACGAGAAGCTGTCAGTTCATTTTTTGACTAATCTCATGCACAGAGCGACGATGATTCCGACGAGGAAAAGAAGAAGGAAGAAGAGAAGGACAAGGATAAGGATGAAGAGAACAAGGACAAGGACAAGGATGGAGACTCCAAGGATAAGACTGCGTCGGGCGTTTCTTCCAAGGGTAACACTACCCCGTCTGGCCGACAGAAACATACCGATGCTCTTAAGAAGGGCAAGTCTCTGAAGCGTCCCGGCTCTCCCAACTTGTCGGAATCTAGTGGCAACGAGTCCTCTCGGAAGAAGCTGAAGAAGCATGCCGCGGCTTCTGTCCATCAAAGCCGTTCGTCTACGCCTTCAGGAGGCTTGAAGAGCCACCTCAAGGGTGCCATGAGCGACGGCGAGGCAACTGGAGGAGAGATGTCAGACGGCCAGTTGAGAAAGAAGAAGATCAAGCTCGTTGGCAGCGGTGCAAGAGGCACGCCAGTCGGCTCGAGGGCCGGTAGTCCTGTCCCCGCAGCATCCGGTAAGCACATGGATCGCGCTTCTCAATTGTTAGAGTATATGCTAATGCAGTTCATAGGCTCCAAGCCTGGTTCACCAGTTCCCGAGGGATCGCCCGCGCCCCGTGGTCCCATTCAAGCTCACGAGATTGTTGATGCCCTTCCTGAGCTCCCTGGTGGTATCAGCATTGGTAACCTCATGAGGAGATTCCAGGGACGCATCGGCGACGGTCCTGGCCAGATGGATCGCAAGGAATGGATCAAGTTGGTCAAGGAGAACTGCGCTTACGGATCCGACAAGATTCTTCGTCGCAGACCTTAGGCGGGAAAGCCAATATTGTAGATTCTGCTTGCGCTGAATCCATCATTAGGGTGGAATTCGTCGATGAGGAGTAACCCACCGAATTGTCACCCTTTAAATGAGCAACTTGGATTATCTCACAGGTGATAAATGAATGGAATGAGCACAGTTTGTTTTTCCAGTAGGGTGTATACGGCTCACGTTAGACTAGTCGTCTTCGGAGATTCCCAATGAAAGTCTAAAAGCCGACTGCATATCTTTGGAGCATAGAAGTCGCGAACAAACACATCCCTAGCTAGTAGTAGAGGAAAGGCGTAAAGTTAGCAGGACGCTTTTCGAGACAGCACATAAACATGCTCTGCGAGTGTACTCTACGCCTCGTTGCCAACCTTTCACTGCGCTGATGAAACTATTGTCATTTTACAAGATCGCCGCGCATTTGAGTTGTTCAGACTCAGATTTTGATCGTCATTCTTGATCATGACTGAAAGGCCGCAAAGGCAGATAGTATTGGATATCCAGTGCTTGAATCCATCGCATTCCGACGCCTTGAAGACCAATGTCAGCGTCTTAGCGCGATCATTCGTCCATCTGCCAGGCGTAATCGAGGCCCTTGTTTCGCTCCCTGCGATTAATCGCCCTAAACCGTTCCCCTTCGAACCCATTACTCCTATCGACGCCATCCCACCTATACCCCGGCTTGATACCGTAGCGATTTGGCGGTGCAGCACCAGCATACACCGGCCGCCTCTTTCCCTTTTTACCCTTTGCCCCTGCACCACCGCCACCACCCGTCTTCTCACTCAAAAACTGCGCCATGGGATCGTTCCACCGCTCCTGCTCCTTGAGCTCGTTATTCATCTCCTCGTCGTCCGCCGTCCGCGCGAAAGTCATGAGCTTGGCGTCCTCGAGCGCCTCCCTGCGCTTCCGCGCGTTCTCGAGCTGCACGTCACCCTTAGGCGCCAGTTTGGCCAGCCGTTCTTTTTCCTCGGCCTCGAGCGCAAGTTTGCGCGCTTCCGCGCGCTTCATGGAGACGTCGACGCGCCGGCCCGTGGCATCACGGTAGACCGTCTCCTCTTCCTTGCCGTGTTTTCGAAGTTTCGCGAACTCGGCTTCTTCGGCTTGCTGGCGGCGGCGGAGCTGTGCTGAGACGGCGGCGGCGGATTGGAGG